CCCCAAAACCCCAAAACCCCAAAACCCCTGTACTGGTAGACTTTTATAGAATATTTAGTAAAATTAATTACTTTTATTTTAGGTGGTATTTAATTAAGTTTAATTGCGAATTATCTCAACATTGTTCCTCCAGTCTGAATGCTCACTGTCTTCAAGCAAGTGTTTAGTCTTGACCAACCTATCTGGATACTAGTTGCCTCCTTCAGGTTGGATGATTGAATAATATTGTAATTTAAGAGATTTGGGAGATGGTCGAGCATCTTTTGAGGCGACTCAGTTACCAAGGTAGGCAAAGTTTTCATAGAGATTTTATATAGCCTAAAGCACAATATATGTACTATCTCAAGCTATGAGGCTCCTTCCAAAGTTTCAATGCTGTATAGTTAGTCAAAATTTGGATTTCTCATATTGTGAAAACTCGATTATTACCAAATCAGTACCACAGGGACCAGTCTGAGCAAAGTCTAAAGTATTCTGCAAATTGGGATTTATTTTAAAGCATAAAATTTTATTTCTAAAACATTCGATTATGATTGAGTGTCTGCTTGAAGTAGCTTAGCAAAGACTCAATGCATAGATCTCTAGATAAGCCTACTCTTTGGTTAAACTCAAAGTTATGTCAAAACCTTGATTCTACTGAATGGGAACAGAGCTTTGAAACAGTTTTCCTTTTGTAATTCAGGTACTTTGCAGCTTGTGTCTTCTCATCTGAGTCAGCAGGTTTGAGAGAGTATAATAGTCTAACACATCTTTCCCTAGCCATGATGATAAGAATTGAAATGCGTTCAAGATTGTGAAACTGAGGATCAAGTTAGATCAGTTTGATCAATGATTTATTTGGTTAACCATCTTTTATGATGAGAGTAAAGCCATTATCATTCATCAGACTTTGAAGAGATTGTCTATACACAGTGTAAAAGAAGTTCATGCTCTTCTTCTACAGTTATTCAGCTTGTTGTTGAAGGGCATGTTCTCTTCAAATCTATTTCCTTTCAACTTTCACATTAGGTTAGGGGTTTTGGGGTTTTGGGGTTTTGGGG